TTCTACATGACCTTTTTGATCAATAGTCCTTTGTTGTGCTGTGAGGCCTTGGCAGCAAAGGACAGAATTAATACAGTTAATTCTTATCTAATGTTTACCTTTAAACTCTTTGGGTCTTGGCTCAGGTTTGAGACATTTGTTTTACTTAGGTTTTATAACTCTAAATGATGAGTACTGCTTGAGAATGTGGTCTCCTCCAGAGAACCCAGGGTTCTCTGCTGACCTTGCCGTCTGCTCTTGCAGTCACTCCCATCTCTAGCTCACTTGCACCTTTCTGTTTTGCCACCTCAGAAATTACCTCAGCTCCTCTGATACATCTTTTGGCAAGTCAGTGAAAGTCAGGTTACCAACTATTTTCATGTGGAAAACAAGTCTCTCCCTGACTTTTTAAGGGTAGACATTTTTTGTGTGGAGAGGAATCAAAAAGTCTCTTTGTCAGCTTCTACAGTTTCCTGCCATTTTAAAAAACAACTCCAGTTGTTTTAAATCACTATACTTTCTTCACACAGGAGTTTCACTGACAAAAATTTGTGGCTGATTTTCAAATGGCAAATCAGTGTGAAACTTTCCATTCTTGTTACCCTTAAGAAAGCCTGTTAACCCATACATGAAGAACTATTATAGTTTCAGACATTATAGTGTAAGAGTACATCCCTGGCAGCTCCTTGAACAAAACCATTAGACATAGGGCTCCCCCCCACCTCTTTCCCAGCAACTTTATCTCAACAAGTACTCCATTTAAGCAAACAGCCTAAAGCACAACTCATAACCCACTCAGAGACAACTATTTGAAAACTTTAGGGCTGCTCTAACAGACCACAGAAAGGGCAAAGGAATCAAAAATAAGCCTAATACTACAAATGCAGCTGCAAAACAAATTAATACTCCCACAGAGGGAAAGCCAGAGCTGCCAGACTGCCCGAACCTCTGCAGGAGGTTTGGCTGCTGCAGGACAACAGTCTGGGACCAGGCATGAATAGTCTAGCCCTTGGAGCCAGATATATGTGCACTTTAAAAGGTTGTTGGTAGCAGGTTTCCTTGGGCTAAGCATTTCTGTTACCAACCAAGTCTGTCCCTTTACAAAAAGTAATTTACTGTTTTCTCTGAAATAAGTTTTCACCAAATTTGAAGGTCTTCTTGGTATATTTCAGAACTGTACACTTAAGATGAAAAAAAGCATTTTGTGTTACTTTGGATTTGTTAAACTTTCATTTGGGTTGGGTTGGGTTTTGACTAGCATGCGTACATATTCATGCAAAATTAGAGCTAGTCTTTAAGATTACCTCTAAATTTGCAGTGAAATTGATTGGGATCTCAAAAAAAAAAAAAAATGTAAAAAGTACTCAGTCTTGCCTTTTTCCCCCTCCCAAAAAGCAACTGCTGAAAAGGTGTAAGTTACCAACTACTGAAATGCTACATAAATGCTCTAAAATAAATCAAGAAATCATATTTAAGTAGATATAACCAAGTGAAACTCACTTTCAAATTCGCAATGTGCAGTGACATATTAGTGAGTGACTGATCTATTGCTTATGAAAAGAAAAAAAAAATACAAGAAAAAGTCTTTTCACAGTTCAATAGAAAGTTACAATATTTGAGAAATGAATGAGAAGTCATGTAATGGCTTTGCAGCTTTTGAACTTTCACATGTTTCAGATTTTTCTAATGCTTGTGCGGATTAAAGAGATTCACATCTCAATGGCTGGGGCACCTCACATTTTTTCTGGATCAGGTTTAATGATTTCCACACTGCAAAAACTTCACTTTGTATGAACACACCCTGAATTTAAGGAATTTTTCATACTTAGGTGCATGTTTTCTAGTATATTTCTTTTAATGTTAACCCTGTCAAAGGGCACAGTGGCTGGATCATAAGAATGAGTAACTCCTTCAATTTCACACATCAATACACTGGGGCTTTTCAGCGTGCTTTTCTTTCCAGACCCCAAAAATAAATTAAGGCAGGAGAAAGGGGGGAGGGAAATGTCAGGAAACAATAAAATAGAAGACCATCCATATTTTTTTTGCTTCTGTGTATTATCTCAACCTGGTCCTCAGAATAAAAGGGAGAACCATTTATTTCAGTACGTGCAAAGTTCATGGTTTTAAAGCTACAACTACACCCTTTTCATCTCTTTAAAAGACATTTCAAAGCAGGGTTGTGAGACCCAAAGAAAGAGAAAAGTCTCTGATGTCCATCCAGCTCACAGAGAAAAAAACCTTGCATTTTCTACCCTTGGACGTGGAATTAAGGGGTGACAAAAAGCCATTTCATCCTTTCTAAGAAAATGCGTATGTGTGGACTTATATTAAATTATATTCTAGTGGTTACCAGGAAGGCTTGAGTACCATCTAGAATCCAGCAATAATCACAGACCTTATAAAAGTCAGCATATATGTTAAGTCCTCATGGCTCAAATGACAAGGGGAACCAAATGTCTAAAAATATTTGCACACAACAGGTGTGACAAGCTAAGATGTAAACTATTTGGGGCCTGTGCAGAACTGATGGGGGCCTGTGAAGAACAGAGGGGTGATTTTTTCTGGTTGTAGACCCAAGGACAAAGAAAATTTCAGAGTTTTAACTGAATTTACTGGTCTCCATCATTATGCAGCACAGGAGTACAGCCAAAACTCCACTGCCTTGCATTTCTTCTAACTTTCTCTGCAACAGAAAATGTTCATCCCATTCTAGAAAACTTCAGCTACACAACACCGCTGTTCCAAAATCCTGGCCACCTTCTGATTTTTTTGCATGCTTCAAACTCCTATTATAATTCAACACATATATGAGGCAGCCAGGATTACCTAAGGCTAACAAGAAGTCAAGGTTTATGGGAGAGAGCTGGTTTAAATAAAGGGCATTTCCTCTTTTTACAATCACCACCTAACTGAAAATGGCATCAGTTGGGCTGAGCTGAGCAAAGAAAGCAACTAACTGCTGGCAGTACTTGAAACTTTGGAGACTCCCTTTAGAGAGTTGTGCAAGTAGGCACCATTCCCTAGTAAACCCAGCTCTCCAATGGCTCCACCAGGGCCAGTATTTCACTCAGTCTTACAGCTCTGATTTCAGATGATCTACTGTTTGAAAACACACAACCAAGTTGATCTGCACAGCATTAGCTACCTATCCTGCTTCTTAGGAATGTATCATAACATGAATACCTGGTTTGTAAAATCAAACATCATCTGTTTGTTTGGGCTCCTCAGCCTGCCATTCACTTGCTTCTAAAAGAAATGGGATTACTCTCATAAAACAAAGGAGATCATCTGTGTCATCAAGCTAAACTCATATCAAGTGTGAACAGACACTTACAAATATAGACACCAGAGGAGATTATTTTTAACATTTACAAGTATCTCTTCACAGTCACAAAAATCTTGGCAATGGTGAGCATCATGCCAAGGAATCAAAGTAAAATGTGAAGGCAAGTGTGCAATTCTGTGGCTGTTAACAGAAAACACTTGGTGGAAAGAAGATCAGATGACTGTGACACAGCAAATAGGTCACTGAAATCCACTGGAATTTCTGCTCCTTTATAAAAAGGATGTATCCATAAAAGTCACAAAGGGACATAATCTTACCAACCACTGGAAGGGGAACAAAAAAAAAGACTGGAACTTGTGATCTCATCTCTAGGTTGTAAACAATTGTAGGTTTTAGTTTCAAAGGAGTAATAAGAAGAGCTGCTGGAGATTATACACCAGCAATTTCAGCTCAGCTAAAACAGTATGTATGTGTGTTGGCACATACACACAGGAATTGCAGGTGAGATCTATAATACATTGCCATCATTAAAGGTCATGAACAGGAGATTTAAATCAAGATTCATCAGCCATTCGTTTGAGCCATAACCAAACCAAGTATGCAGTGTAATGCACCACCTCCTCCATTCTGCATATTTTCTAAATGATAAAATACTGCACAAAATCTATCACCAATGTCCTCTCCTAACTGCCATTATTTCAAATGTCTCCTTGAAATAACAAAAAAATTCTGACCTCAGAAAAATCTAATTACTGTGTCTGTATATAACAAAGAAAAGCACGGCAAACTCAGACACAAATGTGGTATACCTACCTCCAAATGAACAACTTCTTTGAATATTGGTGTGAGTACCATTTATGCAACAGTAAAGCATTAAAAAAAAATTAATTCATCATTAACTTTAATGATGATAGTAGTAAAAGTGGCTAGATAGCTAGAAGGCATTTCTTTTTAAAAACTGTTGTGTTCTGCCTCCCTTGACATTTCTAAGCTTTAATGTCAAGACCCTAGCCATCTCATTACCCAAGTTTCTGCAGCCTGTTAAGAGGCCAGGTTCTCCCTGGCATACTTGTTTTGTTCACTATTTGTTCCATTTCATTAAAAACTAAAGACGTTCTATGATGAAAGCAGAAGTACTCAGAAAAACATAACCGTAGAGAGTAACTGCAACCCAGCCTTATCTGCTCAACAGTGAAGTGATATTTCCTCACATTTTCTCATACTTAAGAGCAAATTTATAATATATTGCTCAACAAAAAAGTTAGCTTTCAAAGCACTTTCAGAGGAAGAGAGAGAAAAAAAAAGTAGAAGCAGAAACACCACACTTTGGAGCAAGAGCACAAAAAAAGACATGTTCAGGGGAAAATACCAGAGATGAAAGCCTGGCCCAACTGAATTCCAGGATAAAACAGCCATTGGTTTCAACAGGGTCACGATCTCTGTCAAGATCTAAGTCTGGATTCACTTTTGAAGTAGGTGTGGCCTAAAAGCAGGAGGGAAGAATTAACTATAAAATAAAATATCTCTCTCTGTCTTAAACAGCCCATCGTTCATTTCATGTTACATTGCTATTGACTACAAAAAGGGTATAAGTGGCTATGAAACCCACCTATCTAGGTACACCCTACTTTCCATCACACTACCCTTTTTGTTATCCTTCCTTTACACATTATCATGAATTTTTGTTGTTGCTGGTGGGGAATGGCTGACAGCATTAACACAATGGCTCTGCTACACAAGAACTGCACAAATTTTATGTCAAGTCACTTTTCATCATAAACAAACCACTATCATATATCTAGAGGTACAGGTTTGGGTATTACACTGTGACCACACACTATATATATGCCTCAGTGTTGTATTTGTGTAAGTTCTGCTTCTGTCCTGTATACACATTCACATGCTACATGTATGTAGCATTTCTGAGTGCATAGGCACACATATGCACAGATGCAGGAAAACCATGAATGTGGGAGCCACAATAATGCTGCTCCTGGCTGATGGAAATTACAGACTTTGCTTCCGTGTTAATGGATCACAGAAAAAAATCTTGTAAGGATTATTTTAATTTGTAAAACATTTGTATTCCCTACTGCATTGCAATAAAAGGAATGTGCTAACTGCCAGTCTTTTAAGAAATACGATACAATTCCTTGTACTTTTGGTTTGAAATCGGAACTAAAACACATCTGCTGCAGAATAACTGATCTGTAAGGCCCTGGCAGGAGGTAAAGGCTGGGAGTCAACTCACTCCTTCTGGCTGTAATCCCTTCATGGAAATCTAGATGGGTTGCTCTATATCCTGTATCCTCTGATCATTTTCAGAAAAACATAAAGTTGCAATAAAATCACAAAATGCCCAACAAATCCATGACCTGCCAAGACTTTGAAGTCAGGAATACACCAAGCAGCACAGCCACCTCACAGCTGCAAATGGAGGTAGGATTCTGGGTATTTTGCTGAGAAAAAAAATTTAAAATTACTGCCTGCATATGCTCCCAGTAAATCAGCACTCATTTAGCCACCCTAGCATAATAGATCTTTCATAGCTCACAGGAGAGGTCATGGTACAAGAATGTTGAACAATACAGCACAATCTTTTGTAGGTAAGAAACTTCAAGGTAGGAGGTGTAAGTTGTAGCAACAATAGAAACCTCAGAGGAGATCATCAGAAAATGATTAACATGGTTTTCTCAAAAGAATGTGCACAATTGACAATATTTTCAACACAGACATATATTTCTAACTCCTCTGGTGTCCTGTTTCTTATGCCTTATACACACACATACAAAGCTCAGATTTTGGTTTTGTTTCATTAACTCCATATTTCTGCTACTTATAATTACCCAAAGTATTATGATCAGATCATTCATACATTCATTTATTTGGAATAACTGCCATTAAAGAGACTTTCAGAGAAGTAGCTTAATGCTGAATACAATTTCTTGTGCATTATATTTTTTATATTTAATATACCACTTGATGGTTTGTTAAACTGTCCGATTTGATGTTTGTTATAAACATTCACTGTGTTGAAATCCCAAATAAACAACAAGCATACAACTCTTTTCCACGGAGTATATGCTTTATCTTGTCTGTTGCTTTTCTTTGAACTCCCCCTTTCTTAGCAAGAATATACCAAAATAAGATAACACTCAAATATTTTTCACTAGAAAATGGATTTCTGCTTTAATATAGCATTGCATGCTTATTTTGATTTCCTGAAGCCCAATTCAGCTAATATCTCAGGTGAATTGGATGAAACTGCAACTGGCTACAACCAACAAGGGCAAGAACTTCAACAGACAATTGTAGACAAAGGTCTGTTGCCTAGCATCCTGCAGCATCCGGCAGGAAAGTGGAGCAGGAGATCAGACTTTGATCATGAGAATATTGCTGAGGCAAGTGGACCCAAAACTTTCTGCAGTCACCTCCAGGGACAGGCAAGGCAAACACAGTTAGTGGGCATCAAATAGTACCCCTCTTCACTTTCACTTCTCTAAAAATCTGTCACTTCATGAGACCATCAGGAAGGAGCAGAGAAGGAAGTGATATGAGTTTCAGTAATGAATCAATGCCAGGAAAGAGAGCTGGAAATTCAACTCTGTAGGAACTGAATGTTTTGCCTCAGTCACAAAATGCATTCAAATTCATGTCTTCATTTCCAGTTTCTTCCTCTTCATTGCTTTCCAAGAAACTCCAGGGGCCAAAGCAGGAGAGCACTGGTTCCAGGGAGGCTGCTGGCTGTCCAGACAGACATGCATGCTGCTCACACCTCTCTAAAAGGTATCTCATTCATATAATATTTCAAATTAAACTATTTCAGACAAAAATGAGTTCACTAATTTTCATCACCAAGTCATATTTTTTATTTTGCAATTCCAAAGACATGTGGGTCCTTCTCCCCCATCCTCACTGTCTTTTATCTTGAAAATTCCCAGTTCTTCGAGTGTGATGTCATGATGTGTTGCCATGAAAATTTAACTTGAAATTATAAGCACTAAATTAGAACTTCTTCATGTGGCAAAAGATCATACAGAGGGGGACAGCAATTTAAACAATGATCTTCTATAATTAGTGATGATAACAAAGGAAATATTCATAATTACATCAAAGGATTCTTCACTGAGTATTGTTTTTATTTGCTTCCTGAGAGAGCACAGAGTTCTCTGAAAAGATACCACTCTTTTAGGCAGATGTAGATAAATAAAGGAAGGCCATCTAGAGAATCCAATTTCAAACCAAAGCCTGAAAAAGACTCGGAAATCCAGAAGACATTCTCTTATTGATGTGATTACATGCCAGGCATCAGTACGCTGCTAGGTATGCAGTGCTGATAAGTTTGCAGTATGTAAACACCTTTTCAGATGAACATGACCCACAACACCATAGCTACCTGGGGCATCTGTCTCCACATACATGAGGCATAGCCTGGGGATTAATTTCATCCACTAACGTAAACAGGACTAATTTTTTTTAAGTACAGATAGCTAAAAATAGACAAGAGTAATGTTATGCAATAAAACCTGTTATATGTTTCCCCTTTCCAGATAAGGGAATCTGACACAGCTTCAGATCGAAAGAGGCAGCAGTCTGACCAGAACACAAAATATGTTATTCATTTCATTCCCTTCCAGAGACATAGCATTTGAACCTTCCATACATTAAAGATGTATGCCCACTATCATATCATTTCAATGGTTTAAATATTAAATTACGATCAAAAATTCACAACACTTCTGGCCTTCCCCGGAAAAAAAAATAGGTCAAAAATAAATGGAAACAAACTGTTTTCTGCCCCTTTTTATGCACTTGACAGAGAGAAAAAAAATGAGGAGATAAATCTGCATAATACTGAACCGAATCTCTTTAATTCCAGTCAGCTTTTATCATTCAATCACTGAGTCTGTATGTGGAAAAATTCATGCTAATTCCCCCTAGCAACAGCCGCAGCCTATCCGGGGGAGCCCCGCACCAGGCAGCTGCCAGCCAGCAAGAATAACTCTAAGTAGGTCAGCCCTGCATTTCTAAAAATGCCACGGTCTAGTAACCCCACTGTCCCGTCTGTCTGCCCTGCCCCATAATAACCTCGATCACTCGGTGACACAATGACATACTACCCTGTTAGAGTGCAATCAAATCTCGCTGCATTATTCTGCTACGAGCATCGCTGCTGGATGAAGGACCCATCGAGGGGCAGCATTAATCAGGCAGCCATTCATGTCCACTAGCACTTCATTCTGGAGATGGGGCCTGCATTAATGACCAGCTGTTTGAACTAACACAAACAAAATAATGCCTTCCACCCTGCTGGCTGCGCAGAATACACTATTCTAATCAGTCAGGTTATGCTCATTGACTAAACCTAAGATGTAAATTAAACAGCCCCAGACAATGCCAGCTTTTGTAACCTTCTATTAATTAAAGTGAGTATATTTAAATTATACTACACACAATTCAAAGAGCTATTGGTTTAATATACAGAGTCACCTCCTCCTACAAATTTGTATTCACAGTCAAAAAAAACAACCACAACCAAAAACCACCCACCCCACTGTTTGTGTAAGACAATCTACCTATCCCGGTAAATTAAAGAGCAACTACAACAGAGCTTAACTGCAAGTGACTTCTGCTGAGAGCAAGGAACCACACCAGACTTCCAGCAATTGGGCGACGGGAACACTGACAGACATGCACACTGGATGTGGTGGAGGGGTACTGATAAAAGCACTGTTAACATATTCCAGCCATGACACAGAGAAAGGCCAGTCGCAGCAGATTAAGCACCCCCTGCAATCTCACTGCTTAAGCACTGCCGAGTTGCCTTCACAGACCTAAAAATAATTGCAGAGGTCAGAAAGCCCCTTGGTGGGATATGGGCATGTGTCTTTAAGAGCACATAGCTGCACCCATCCCTCCTACTTCCCACAGCTCTGGGGATTTCTGCATGACTGCAAGATGCTGCACGAAGCCCCGTCCCTCCCCCCTTGCTCTTAACCAGAGAAGCCTTAATATAAATCACACCAGAGCCCAGCCAGTCTTCTCTGGGGTGGTATTTTGGTATCAAATCTGTAATGCCAGAACAGAATTTCATCGAGCCTGCTTTATGTTTAATTATACCCTTCCTCTAAACACCTTCGTGCGTAGCTTGCTGGTCTCTTCCGAGCATGCCTCCATGTCATGCAGCTGCCTGTACAGGACAGAGCTCGGAAAGACATTTTCAAGGATAGATTGTTCATCTGCATTTTTTTCTGAAAGATTTGCACTTTCGGTGAATGTCTTGCCCTCTAACAAACTGATAATTCAGTCTTCACTGCTGCAGAATTCAGCAAGCCTTGTGCATGTAATCCATCCACATCTGATTTAGGAACACAGCAGATTCATTAATCCATTTTGCTCTTTCTTGTTTGAACCAGGCTTGTTAACCAGGTTTTGAGAGTCTTCCTTTGCTTTGTGGCACACATCACATAGCTATTCTTGGAGAGATACAGTCACTGACGTAACCGTGGGCTCCTAATTACAAGCTGCTGACATTTTGCTCATCTCTGCAGCTTTGAAGCTGTGAGCTAAGAGTCTCTCCTCCTCCCTCCTTTCTTGCTTTAAGCTGCCTGAGTTAGAAGAACATGACAGTTTCAGAAAGGTATAGGTAGTGGCATAAACTCCTTTGCAGAGCCTGCTGTATTGCCAAAGTTATTTTTCTTTAAGCAAACAGAAAACTACAGTTTGGGAGTAATAAGACTCCTTTGCCCCCAGCACAAGAATGTTATCCAACAGCTGGCTAAATATAATCCAACACAGAGGGCTGCCTTTGTAGGCGGGGGAACAAACAGTGGAAGGACCAGTCCGGCATCTTGCAGGGTAGCTCACCATGACTATTGGAAAATCCCCTCGTACATATTTTAGGTTGACATTATGGTCTATGGCTTTGTACAAAAGGGAAAAAAAGGAAAGGGAAAAAAACCTCTTTCTCGGTATGCAGCTGCTAGCAGCCATGCCAAGCCTTGCTAGCTGACTGCAGCACTTGTTTCCCCTATTTCTGCATTGTTCAGACATGGCCAAGCTGAGCTGCCTACCAAATGAAATATGCCTCTACCGTGACAAGTCTACCTGCCCTAAAAACACAGTCTTCCTCATGCAGGTTTGGCAGTAAAAAATACACCCAGCTACATTTCACAGAAATTGATTGCCAAATGTAAGCATTGCCTTTTCTCAATATATGAAGAATCTTTTTCAATTAGAGGCTGATTTTGAAAATCTAAAAAAAAAGAAAAGAAAAAGATGCAAATATAACACTGAATATAAATGCCCAGTTGAGGATTTAGTCATCTGATGACTGTGGTAGCCAGCTGGTCTAGAAGTCATCTGGGATGCATTTATTTTGATTAGATTGATCACATTTCTATTTACAGTATAGAACTTTTCACCATACTGAATACAGCTGTGTTTATAGAGATTTTAAGATGGAGAAAACGAAGCCCCATGGTTTTTCTCAGCACAGTGCAGAAGATTCAGTGCTTTAAGGTGTTAAGCAGAAAGGATCTGCTTTCATATTTCTTAAAAGAATACTGCCTACCATCTGTTTTCACAAAGTGCCACCTCAGTCAGGAAATGGGTGTAGAGCTATAGCTGAAAATACAAGCTGCAATCAGGTCTGACCCAGCAGAGTGACAAAAGTCCTCTGTAAATTGGTCAGAAATGTCTTGCTTTCATTTCCATACATGTTCACGCACACACAAAAGCACATACATACACAGATATACATGGAGTGAGTGGCTGCTGTTTTCCCTGGGGATATTCCTGCAGCCACCTAACTCATCAGTTCACTCCTTGACAGCACCAGGAGTGTTCAAGCTACGATTTACAGTCCCTCGGTCCATACATTGCTTTGTTAATCAAGCCATCCTCTCTGCAATGAGAATCCACAGAATCAGACAAACGGCACGTAGCGTTTCTTCTTCCTTTGCATTTGCATTTGCTCGCTCTCTCCTTCTCCCTTTGGCTTTGCCTTATCAGGCAGATGCAACCGATACCTTATTTATCCGTCTCCAGCACAACACTGAGGTGAAACCTGACTGCAGCACTGTGGCTTCCCCATGTTAATCCTGTGGAGCAGCAGAGGCTGGATTCTTGTTGCTGATGCCCTTGTCGAGCACTGGATTACTTTACATAATATTTCTTTAAGCTTTCACCCACCCCATCCTAGATTAACACCCTTCTTTTCTCCTCCTTCCCCCCCACCAAAAAAATCCCAAAATCATCACATATCGCAACCCTTTGCTTCCAGAGCCAACAAAAAAAAAAATGCGGCTCCATCGTTCTTCTTCCTTAGCAATGTGCAGACGAGAGAGTTTCGAGTCAATCAAGCCAGGGTGAAGCGCAGGCAGCAAGACTGCAGCAGCCCCAGCAGCAGCAGAAAGAGCAGCAGCCGCCCAGGTAAACGCAGGGAAAAGCACGCTGTGTCGAAAGCGGTGCAGCATCGTAGCTGTAAGGAAAGACAGTCTTGCTTCTTCTGAACGGTGCAGCTTTATGCCTGCAGGAACGGAGAAAAGGGAAGACCCAGAATTAAAAATTAAAGCCAAAACAGTTATGAAGAAACAATAACTATAATAAATTATCATAACTTTATTTTTTCTGGGTTTTGGGGCTTTCTGGGAGGCGGAGGCTGTGTCTTTTCCTCTCCCTCCCCAAAGTCTCCTGTGTTGCTGGATGCTACTGTCCAAGAGTGCGGAGTCACAAAGGCTCACTCTCCAAAGCACAGTGAGACCAGCATCACATGAGAAACCACATGACGCACCCAAATCGGATGCTGATGTGGTCCACTATTTCACTCGGGGGGAAAAAATCTCAACCGAAACATCGCCCTCTTTACTGGTTAGAAAAACTCCCCTTAAAAAAAAAAAAGAAAAAAGAAAAAGCCCCCCAAAAAAATATCTCCATATCTATCCATCTTCAATGCCAATGCTTCAGGAGGCAGGAGAATGCTGTTCCACAGACACTAGCTGGATGGCAGCAATATTACTTCCAGGCTGCATTATTCAAAGTGATTCTACTTAAGTGAATTCCTGAAAAGCATACTCCATGTCTCCCTAACATGAACAGACTCAGAAAACCATCTCCATTATCATTCCCTGCAATCTGTATCCAAACCTGTGTTCTGAATAATTTATTTTAGGCTAATAAGCTGTTTGCCAAGACCACTCCTTTTCCCACTCAGCCCCACACTCAACAAGCGACTACAGCAAGAAACACAGAGGCATTTACGGTTTCCTTAACTGGTAATTTTAGTGAATGCACTGTCCCACAAAATAATCAGGAAAAATGAGCAGAAGGGTTTTTTCCTCATGTACGGACACAACAGGGTTTGCAGATGGTGTCAATGTTTTCCTGATATTGCCGACTAAAAGCTTTCAGTCCAAGTCAAGAAGCAAACGTTCTTGCCTGCCGATTCCTGCAGAGGTGTTGTGCCACACTGTTTAACATGCAGAAACATCTGGACACCCCTGGCAGCCCCCAAATAAGAGCGTGCAGCTCTGCAATGCTGTTAACTGTCAGGGCACCAAGCAGTTAACATCTTGGCTGCTTTACCATCTTGCTCTACCTATAGGAGCATGGAACCGAGGGACTGGTTCGCTCAAGAAACAAAAGCAAAAAAGCTGACCTTGACAATCGATGGAATTGCTGCTCACAAAGTTATCATCCAACAAACAGTTAGCGGTTTGTAGCTTGTTTTACGCCTAACATTTGTTCAAGTGACAGAGCAGGTGGCACAGAGTCTTCCATCCCCTTTGTTTGCAAAAGCTGGGCACCACCTCGTGACGCTGCACTCCCTGGCTCTTTACACTGAAACTGTACGCAGTGTCAGGGAAATCTAGGAAGAGAGCTGCTCTGAATCTGTACAGCTGTTTTGCAAAGGATCCCACTGCAATCTCCGAAGTTACATAATGGAGATCAAGCACAGAATTCCCCCAGAAGAGAGATGTTTAGCCAGCCCTTACACAGGGACGCGCCATCGGAGCAAAATCCAAGTGCTCTTTCATGCCGATTTCAACCTTCCCGACTATTCACACAATAGCAGATTGCAAAAATTTGCACAAGGCAGTTTTAACTTCTTCTTATTGGCTCCTCTCAGAAAGAGGTTTTTTCAGTGGGCTGCACCTAGGAGTTGCCTAAATTCCACGTAAAATCCAGTTGTAGCATTCAGTCTCAGCATGCTGTTAGTGTTCAGGGGAGCTACAGGGTTGCATGTACAGAAATCACAAGATTACCACAGTCATCCCAGGGCATTTTCACCTGTGGTGCTAATAATTTCAACATTGGCAAGTCTTTACTGGAAAATGGTATTGGTAAACCCAAACTGACTACAGCTAACCAATAGAATACTCTATTTTCAGATGGAGTGTCAGCTAATATGGAGAATCCAGGTTACAGATGACTTTCTCGATCCAAAAGACAAACATTAGTGAGTCAGGAACTGAGTGCAGCAAAATATGCATCTTCAGGGCTTTGGAATACAAGATAAGAGGAGCAGTCCTGGTGATCAGTCCCATGTTTTTAACCTATATCATAATAACATGGCTCTGACTGGTTTTTAGTCTGTTCTCATTAGTTTCTAAGACAGATTTGCAGCAGTTCTTGACTCTGTGAGCTGATGATCTTTCCCACTTGATACCAGTAGCTCATTTATCTGTTCTGACCTAGAGCGATGTTGGTTGGAAGGGTCACCTGGAGGTAACTTAGTGAAACCTCTGGATATCATCAACATTCCATCAGGTCAACTGCGACTTCATCCTGAAAATCCTCAGAGATGGAGATTCTGTAACTTTTCTAGTGCTGCACTTCCCTCCGTGGGAAAATAAATGTGCAGGAAATAAGTGTTCTTTCTGTATTTACTACATAGGCAGCCTTCCCTGCACTACTGTATTGCATACATTTTCCTAGATCTGCCAGTGAAAGAAAAGCGAAGGAGTCAAGGAATGAAAAGACTTTTCATACTAATTTAACCAAGTTCAGCTCAAATTACTAACTCCTGATCATCATTTAATCTCTAAATGCTTCCAGTTCAATTATTAGCCAAATCACTAAAACCCTAGTGAACACCCTGATAACAATTCCAGCATTCTACCAAGTTACCTATAAGAAACAGGAGAAAAAATAAAGATTATATGAATATGAAATCTGAAGTCTGAAATAGGGCTGAACTGACATGGTACATGGAGGATGCTGGTTTATTCAGAATAAACAAGATACCTTTTTCAAACAGACCTGAAAAAGGCCCTAAAGTATCTGTAAAAACTTTTTCAGAACTTTATGAAAAACCTCCTATGAAGGTACCTGATGTACAAACCAGAGATACACAGTCATGTTAGGTATAAATGAAGAGGGAGGGAGGGAAAGAGATAAGAATTACAAAGAGAAAGACCAGTAATAATTCCTTCAGAAGTGTAAAAGACTTAGGTGAAGAAAGGCTTTATGTGCGAGACAGCCCTATGCACGTAGTGCTTACAAATCTAATTCTTATGCTTTGGATAACCTCCCCACTAACTCCTTTGTTAAGAGCATGGGTAACTTCCATCCCTTTCCAAATCTCTAACATAGTTACTTTATTAGATAGTGTTAGCTCTCAAAGTAATTCATTGGCAGACTCTAGATTAACATGTGTAAAATTACTTTCTCAGTTTAGCTCCACAGCATATATTTTTCGCCTCCATACAGAAAATTGAGAAGTAGGAAGTTGTCCAAACAGAACAACTGAGGGTACAGGTAAGAATTTTTGGTGGATAACATTACTTCCTGAGTTCACATGAAAGCTTTTAGACTGGAACACACAGAAATAATTGGGATTATTTTGGATGCCGCCTTGAGAGGTCATCAATACAAATTTTTCTAACATCAGTTTCGTGTCAGCATTTGAAGATTTGTTCTCAAACATTTCATCACAAATCCTGCTCCATATTAGTGCAGCTTTGTGCTGCCTTAGGGATACACTAGCTACCTTGGATTTGATGTAACTGTCTGCAGGGGACAGGCTTTGGAGCAAAGATTTAGCAGCTGAGTAGACTTTAGATGAAAATGAAGAATTAGAGTAATATAGAGAGAGCCCAAAATAATCTTAATTCATGACTCCTTAAAGGCTACTGAATTCTGTGGAGTGATTTTTCAAATATTTTTCAACCAAATGCTTCTTTGTATAGTTAATTTTCTGCTTGGTAGAGTACTCCAATGCAACATGGATTCCTGCAAGACTGATGCACTGAACATCACGGAAAATGAAACTTTGGATCCCAGCATCAAGATAGTTGCAGTGTTACAGAAAACAAGAGCTAAATTCCTTTCAACACCAGAGGAGTGTTAGGATTCAAAAGAGGAAAGCAACCCAGGCACCTATAGGGCATCAGCTTTTCCTTTTGGGAAAAGTCCATTTTGGGTCTTACTCCTGAAGTTAAAGGAAGCAGAACTTCACGTTGGTTAAGCATAGCACAGGCACTGCAGAGACTGGACAGAAGTAACAGAACAAACCATAAATTTAACTTTTTGCCTATTATAGCCAAAAACTGCCATCCTTGTGTAGCACTAAACAGTGCTACCTAGGAAGAAGGAACTGAAAAATAGCAGAAACTTGGAGAAATGTTATAGTTTCAATTGAGGCAGAATGCCACTAGTATACTTGTACATATCAGTAAAATGTGGAGTTGCTAATTTTGATTTGAACATATAATTGCAAGGAATGGTCCATTTGAATATTTGATGGTTCTTAGCAAGTATCAGTCTTTGGGGTTCATTTTTCAATGACCTTTCCCTTTGTAATTTGCAGATAGAGAAAGCATTATCATTAGACTTGAGGTTTCAGCCTGAAAGCCAGGCAAAACTTGACGTTTCACTGAACTTGAAACCTCAAAGTGAACCTCAAGTGTGCAAAGCTTATGGAGTCAAATCAAAACAAACATATGTCAGTGAACAAAAACCACAGAGCTGCACATGGATCTAAGTACTGAGCCATGCTGGCTGCTGGCCAATGCATGAAGTGCCCTACACTTTGCACAAAATGCCAGTAGATGTTTAGTGACCACAGGGTATGTCTGGACACACACTGCCATAGTTTAGAGACACTTAGGCCAATGTCATCTGAGAGCTCGAGTCCAAAAGCAGTTTGTCTATGTTGTACCCTTTCAGTAACATAAGATATCCTTTTTGTGTGACCGCAGCTCAACTCCTTTGGCATGTGATGGGCTTTCTCAAAGCCATCTCCTGACATTGCCATGCTGTATGGCTCCTGGAATGAAGACCTAACTACCGCCTCATAAAAAAGTTATGCTTTGGTTGTCCAAACAGTTAAAAAATGACCATGATTCCACCTTTTCATTAGATTGCAACTGCTTCTGCCTTGTCAGTACAGAGACTTTCATCACAAGAAACTGGTGAAGCACCACAGTTCTTCACTTTTCTCTTGCAGTCATCTGAAACCAGATCAATTTATTTGAATTCACTTATTATTCAATACTACTCCTAGAAGAATTTCCTACATGAATTCTG